GAAAATCAAAATATCCAAAATCCATGATAAAAAGATAGGAAAGAGAAACCCAGGGGACAATCTGATTGAAAAACTTATCATGTGCCAACGGTTCGCTTACAAGGATCTGACATTGCTCCGTTCTACTATCTGTTTCGTATAAATTTCGGGACCACCTAGTTTTGTGGAAGTCTCACACACGGTCAAAATTTGGAAGCAGAAATTTCATTGGCTTACGTGGACACCGGATCTGTTTTTGAATCAGATTGCAACATGAATAGACAGAGACTTTCACGTAACAATGTAAAACAACCAGAAAACCCCCGATTGATATTAGGAATATAATATTCTGAAAGGGTAAGAATATTCGCATGCAACATTGACTTTGTAGTCAGAGGCAAACATTTTTGTAACAAGTCCAATATTTAGTGAGAATAGTAATCATTAAGGATTCATTAAAGTTGAAGACATACACTTCATAAAATGGTCAACCTTGTAACCTGCGAATAAAAACGAGAAATTGGAAAAAGAAACTTTTATCAAAAACATGTTATCCGTTGCGCCACATGGCTTAACTTGAAATAAAAACGACCAATCACATCTATAAATGAGTAACAAAATATGCTGGGTATACGCGAATCACAAACCGACAGTACACCAACGATAAAATCACAAAGGACATCTTGAGGGCAACATACAGTTTCCAACAATAGACAGGTATCTTTACAATATGTAAAACTGTAAATCGTCCCCAGTTTTTAAAGTTGCTTATAAACTGTTTTATAAATAGAATTATAATAGAAAGTTTTAGATCGACAGTCATCGAAATTTCCCCAAATAATATGAAAATAAGAAGATGTGGTATAATTGCCAACTCTCCACCAGAGACCAAATGACATAGAAGTTAAGAACTATAGGTCACCGTACGGCCTTCAACAATTAGCAAAACCCATACCGCATAGTATGACTTTACACAAGACACCACTGGGGATGTTCAATACCAGATAAGTGGTGTTTCTCGGAATATCCATAAAAGTTTGGTATAAATTGTGAATCATAAAAATATAGGATTAAGTCCACAAAAAGAATTGCTTTGTTAGTTTCTAAGAAAAAACTAGTCATGTAGGTATACTTTATCAAAAACAGGAAGAAAGATCCCAGACGGCCAATCTCATAGGACGAAGAAAAGCTGATTACATTTTAGCAAAAAAACAAAAAAACAAAAAAACAAAAAACAAAACAAAAATAGAAACAACGAAAAAACGAACAAGTCAACAAAGCTCTAAATGAAAAATTAAAGCCTGTGCAACACGAACCCCATTAAACAATGGGAGTTAGCTCAGGTGATCCTGAAGGATGAGCTGCTCCTGCTGTACATGTGGCACCCTAATATACAAACATAAATATTACCCATAATAGACTTAAGAATTTATTCATATCTTTTCCTATCAAATTCGTGTATTTGTATACGTTTCATAAACATGATGAAAGAAAAAAAAAAATTGAAGAATTGCAAAATACACATCCTGATTTATCGAAGGATGGTTTTGTTAAATATGATGTTTTATCTTTGAAAAGTTTGGTTGTGAAGTATACAGAAAAGATAAACCAAAACCCTGACAACAGCTTCATAATATATGCGATCGTAGCTTATCTAACATATTTGAATGTTCAAATGTTGGTCCAACTAAAAATAATTTTAGAAAGAAGCAATAAATTTCTCCTCAATTTTGTTTGCCGATAATTATACAACTGCATAAATGTGGCTTACATGATTCATTGGAAAAATGCCCGAGCCTGAAAAAATTATGCAATACATCTTATCGTGAATGTATAAAAGCTATTTTTTTTCATTCACATTTTAAATTTCAGAAGAAAAAACACGCTCGTGGAACTTTAATTTGTTTTAATATAAGGTGTCATAGAAAATCTAATAACCTTCAATGTTTGAAGGTACTGTTTTTGAATCACTGAAAAAAATATTAATTTATAATTTAGGATAACAGTTCTTGAAGTATTGCATTTAGTGTTAAATCAACCGGTGGTGTCCTAGATTCAGCTTAAAGATTTCCTTGTGTTTATTCAGGTTATAAAGGTGGAACATTAGCAATAGTATTACATGTTTTATTCGACATTCAAAGCACACAAGCATAATGAATTTTATATAAGTTTTTCGCTCAATGAATGTACATTCCTTCATTGCTCTAGTATAAATGAGGAAATTTGTTTTATTCGTTGTGTAAGGCCGCACTGTGAGCTGTCATTGTTCACGTCACTGTCCTTTGGTAACTTTCCCGTATTTTAGTATCATCTAAAAAAGGTCAACAAGTCATGATAATTTATTCTTATTTTTGAAGAGAACGCACCAGAAGGAGAGCTATACTGTTGAACTCTCCCAATATAGAGTCATTGTTTCATGATATAACTTCTTGAGAAACTAAAACTATGCCTAGTAATTCTTCAGATTCATCAAAAAGTGCACGTTCTGTAAATACCTCCCAAACTATCCTAATATCGTTGAACTTTCAAAAGGAGACATGACAAGAAAACATCTTGAAACTTCAATTAATTCACATAATATGACAAACTGTAGACGATTTCCTTTTCCTGCTAGGTAAATTTAAACTTAAAAAAATATTTGGAGAAGGGTCGGGGGTTGCTATACTCTGGTCGAGGAGTGGTTAAACCCGGATGAATTTATTTGTCAAGTGTGAAACAATTACGTTACTTTTACAATTAATTTGAAAAAACAACGTTTTAAAGCTATAATACAATATAATCCTAATCCTTTACAAGTTTCAGGGCGAAGCCGAGTACAACAGTGCAATCACTAAAGCAGACATGTATATTTCTTTCAATACAGAAATAAAAGTTTATTTGCTTTGCATGCCTATTAAACCTTAGTTAATGAATGATATTTGTTTGAAAAGACCATCAAACAAAGAGAATATTTCAATCATTATGTAGTTATTAATATACCATAGAGATGGGGTATACTGTATTCACCTTGATTTCCATGTTTCTGTCCGTTAGTCCGTCAAGCAAAATTGCATACTAGTAATTGCAGTGCTTTGCATTCGTATGATTTGTTGTCTAGACTTCTACATGTGTGTTTCACGTAAGAATCAATCTTAAAGTAAAAATCTAACCATTAGCTTTAATTATGAACCTTCTTGTATTGACTTATTGGTCGTCGGTTTAACTTAACTGCAATTTGATACAGTTATAAAGAAAGTTAGACAGAACATAGGAACTGTCGAGAAACAAAGAATTTCCAACGTCAAAATTCTAAGATGTATATTTTAATCTTCGGAGCTTCCCGGGAGTTTCATCTTCAGCTCCCCTACCAGGGCGATGTCATATACCTGCTGGGAGCCTTCAGCAGGCCACAGACCCCCCTGCCAACCAATTATGTGTGCACTGTACACAGAACATTGTTACTCCGCTGACTGCAACACAAGAACAGATGTTAAAACTTGGAGTATGGAGATCTACGCTCCTCCCATTTAAATGATATTATAATTATTTTATTAGTATTCAGTATAACTAAACGCTATTTCACACTAGCAGTATTTAACTGTATTTTGAAATAAAAAAATATGAAAAAAAAGATGTTCGCCTTCTTTCGATGAAATATGTTGAAACACGACTGGTGTATTACATGTAAATTGATGAAATGTGTTCGATAATGGCTTTTATTAAAACCAGTAAAATCGTACTCATACCCTAAATGCCCGTAACCGAAAAAAAATGAAGACGTTCTGTCGAGGATCTTCCATATATGACTGCTATCAATTTTGGATCAAATCTGGTAATTTTACAGCAAAAAGATGAATAAGTGACTCTCCTAAAGGTTTCACTGTGCCCAGTGAGGAGATCAGGACTTTCAAAAAGGGCACTGGTCTATTGAATATGTATGGTCTGACACCCTTTACTACATTACTGTTTTAACTTTCATGTTTCTTTTTGTATTGATGGTATATTTACACATGTATCCCGTCGAAAAATAGAAAATATCATTACACTCAGTGACTACACTCAGTACCTACACTCAGTTTCATTGAATGTTATATAGACCGGAATGATTTACAAATTAAAAAATTAAATAAAAGATAAATTTTAAATACGTACAAAATCAGTTAAATAAAGACTACACATCATCTAGAGGTCAACATATGGTATTTAACGAATCGATAAAGGGTCTATGGCAAATGTCAAGTTCCAATAGACGTTTTGCATATGAATTTGAACTTATTTGATTACCAAAGAAAAACCTAAGTATTTGAATTTTTCAACATTTTATGAACATTAAATAAACCATAAATGAACGTCTCAACAATAGTTTCTGTCAGTATAAGTGTGCTGACTACTTGCCTGTTGATAAAAATTGTTTAAAATTCATCAACAAGGTGGTTGTAAAATTAAAGGGATTGCGTTTACAAGGGTTTTGTGTTGTTTTTCAATCTAACCCTTGTTCTCATTGTGTTAAGAGAGGGCCAAGTAAGGGTAAATCATGAAATTATCATTAACGACGAAGAAAGCTGTCAATTTAATTATCTAACAAGCATACATATATCTAAACAAAAATTAACATTGTGTGTAAGTCAATGTGTGTTACGTATTGTTTGAGGAATTAAAAACAGTAATGTTTGTTTATTAAATCTGTACAAGTCTCTGGCTACTACTATTATTCATAATGTGTGTATCTATGTACATTATTGATATCAATTCATCATTTTGTAGTACATACATCTACTATGATGTCATTATAAAACCAAATGTGTTGCAAGAGGAAATATAACGTGCATTTGACCCCCCGAACTACATTTTATAGATATGCATACTGTTCAATTCCATATTATAAAATTTCAATTTGACATTTAAGTCTGAGTGATACATTATAGTTACAGAATTCATCATTTGTGGTTAAGTAATATATTTCCTTGTTTGCATGTAAATAATAAACAAAATAATTGAAATGGTATAAAAGAACAGTTCTGAAGCAGGAAAACACTATCCATTCATTCGAAATATTGATAACTGCTTCGAAATAAGGTAAGATCTCTTTCCAGTTTAAGTGTTAAAATACTACGAGTTGATAATTAGTACAAATATTTCTTTTAAATTTGATATTGCTTTTATTCCAATAGACTACTTGCGTGTTCAATATATACTTATAAACATTTTTGAATTGAAGAAAATTATTAGAAATGCATCAAAGATGTAAGGCTTATAATTTGATACGCAATAATATATTCATTAAATTAATTTTTAAGTAGACATGCTATTTAAATAAAGATAGAATTTTCAAAATAAGCAAGATAATGAATAGCATTATTTATTTGAAAAGTCAATGACGAATTAGCACATGTGTCCAGGTATCTAACTACTGCTTCAAATGTTTCTTATTAAAAAAGATAAAGTGTTTTCTAATCAAAGTTGTATCTCATAGAACTACATGTTGGACTTAATTTAAAGTATATAATTTTCCTATTTTGAATGAATTTCGGAATTTTAAGTGAAAAGAAAGTACACATTTCCATATTTTTGATAATAGTACTACCATGTATGATTTCGAAATCAGTGTATGTGACATAATTGTGATCTTAGTTTTCAACGTATATTTTCATTTGTTAATGCATGGATCACTATCTATTATTTTATCTTAATACATAATTTCAATACATATTTTAAGCAAATTAAAACTGCATATTTTAATACATTAATGAGGACTGTTGTCCACTATAAGTTTTACATATATTTTTTTCCGTCAATTCTCTTGACAAATGTCCTTTTGGTTGAAATCTATTTACATCTCCCCCCCCCCCCCCCCCCCCCCCCCTTCTTCCCCTTCTTAAGTCCGCTTTTATTTTTGTTGTTGTCTTACCTATTAACTTTGATGGTTATTTTCTTAACCAATTTTCTTTGTGTTTATTAAACAATAAATTGAAAATATATATATATATATAAAAAAAAAAAACATGCACAACCCGATCTATTATTTTCGAAATTTTACCAGGAATTTTTATAAACAGTAAAACGCTCTTAAAAAGGTCTAAAATAATAACAAGCAACTTTTCTCAATAACATGATTTGTGTTTTTTTTCTCTTTCATTTCAGATTTTTTAAGACATGCTTATCTTGTATATTTCAGATTCTTGGAAATGATGACATTTGAAACCATATTATTGTCAATGGCATTGGTCATAATGTCAGTAGCCGGTAATTAGATTCGCTTTTTCAAGATTTGTATGTTGTTTTTTTTTTTCTTTCAAACTGTTTTGAAACCAGCATCACTGATGAAAAGTGCGACTGGCGTACCAAATTATAGGTGGGGTATCTAAGATGAGTTATTTTTAAACAAAGTTTTCTGACGAAGATAAATTATTATCTAAAGCACTCATCAAAGATACAATATATTCTGTACGCCAGACACGTGTTTCGTCTATAAAAGACTCATTAGTGACGCTGATTATTATTATCATCATAATTCAATCAAAAAGCTAAATCAAGTACAAAATTGAAGAGCATTGAGGAACAAAAATGTCAGAAATGTTTTTTGAATTTTGGGTTCTCAATGCTCTTCAACTTCGTACTTTATCTGACCTTTTTAATTTTTTTTGATTCGAGCGTCACTGATGAGTCTTTCGTAGACGAAATGCGCGTTTGGCCACAACAATCCAATCCTGGTATCTATGATGAGTTTATTTACCAAATACAGCTAAGGTGATCTCTTCCTGAGATAAAAAATCCTTAGTTTTGTAATATTTCACATTTTTAAACAGTTAATTTATAAATATGACCCTATCAATGATATGAAATGTCAACCTAGCTGATCACTGATCGATCTGTAAATATGTATGATTTAATTTATTTTTACACTTTATAAAGTTGGTGCGTTGGTATTTTTGGATTCACCTTAATCAAGGGCGCTCAAACAATTGAAAGGGAGATATGTTTATGTACTTGTATACATAAGGAGCAATATGGCCAAAAGAAAATAAAAATGAAAGCTAAATCTATCTTAGGTCAACTTTGTCTGATAGTTTAAAAAACTTTGAACGGACGGTAAAAGAAAGTATGTTATAAATCATATAAGTTTCAACACAGACTACTAAGCTGATGGTATCACCGGAGACTAGAATCGCACCTGTAGAGGTACCAAACCAGTTCTAGAAAATGACATAACCAGTTCAAGAATTTAGTGGATCCAAAAGTTTATCATCTCCTCATACAGACTATTGTAAATTATAATGAAAAAGTTTAAAACGAGAAAAACGTTTACTTGGATTGTTTTTTGTATTACTTGATGTTTTTTTCTTTATTCAAAAACCTTTATATAATGTTAACAACAAATTCTCATACATTACAGCCTATTCACCTACAGAAAAGCACGAACTAGGTATACATGGAGTGAAAAAGGTTTTACAGCTTGAAAATGCAGTTGGTGGAAATATAGGCGGTCATCGTGCAGACTCCCTTTCTGTACTGGATGTAATTGATGCAAATAGACAAGCAGGAAATGACAGAAGAAGCTCAGCCGTCTCTGAAATCATACAAAGCTCATCATCTCAAAGGTCTGGTGTTGTATCAAGCAATGATGCATTAAACAGAAATTGTCATTATGAGTGTGGAGTAGATAATCTTTGTAATGTAGGGCAGAAATGTGTACGAGATGGTTGTAGCAGTTATTGCGTCCGAGTTTCTTCTGGCGGTGTAATTGGAGTATCTGGTTTGTCGGGGTCTATAAGAAGAGGAAACACAGTCTCAGAAATTATTAGAGGTTCGTCATCTGACCTGACCAGGTTGTCAAGCATTGATGGTTCGAGATGCAGTTATGGATGTGGAGAAAATAAATTATGTGCATCAGGACTTAAATGTGTCCACGAAGGATGTAACAGCTTTTGCGTACAAATATCATCTGGCAGCATAATTGGTTCATCTGGTCAGTCTTTGACCGGACGTTTGGATCTATCTAACAATGCTCATTTGGAAACTGTCGGTAGAAGCCGTTCATTGTCTGGTCATACAGGTTCCGATTTTCTTGACACTACCTCCTTAAGACGAAGTAGCATGGATGTATTGGACACAGTTTCTTCTAGACGAGGTGGATCAGTAAGTTCATCTGGTTCAGTGATTGTTTCTCAATCAGTAGTAGGTGAAAACAGTGGTTGCAGAAGACTATGTCATAGTGATGCAGATTGTCCAGAAAGAAAGTACTGTACCACTGTTAGTTGTCACAGGATTTGTAGAAGAAGGCCATCTAATGGATACTCACGATAAACAGAATTAGAATTTTTAAGAAATCCATATTTTTTACTCGAACTGATTTTTTTTTATTATGAAATAAATAAAATGTAAGATACAGTTAGTTTTGTTGTTAAAATGTTCAGATTCATACAAAAAAACATCGAATAATTTAGAAATTGAGGCAACCATAATCATAAAAATAATTACATCATAAACATGATAAAGACAAATGTTATTACAGGTAAAGAAAAAATAATACAAATAAAGAGAGAAGGTGAATTTCAAGTATTTGAAATTTACTCTGAACTTTTGAAACTCATTGAAAAAAGAAGACAATGTCGAAGTGAAAAGAATGACAGAAACCAAAGAAGGATACTATAAATACGGTGATTGTCACAAATTTCTAATGTTTCAAAAAAAAACAACAAATGAAGCCTAAAGGAAGATGTGGTATGAATAAACGTCTATGAGACACAACAGCACAAAAACCAAATCGCTAGGGCGTGTTTAACTACCTTGACTACCCACGAGGGTCTTGCACGGTCGAATATGAAAAATGTTTTTACAAGGTTATATATATGTTCGCCTTAGTGATGACAAAATAATGAATAATAACACTCAATCACTCACTCATCCTCTTCGTGCCTGTCAGCACATAAGGCCTCAATCAGTCCCCGCCACAGTTGCCTGTCTTGTGTCTTCTTCTCAATCTCCTTCCAGGTCTTCCCAAGGTCTTTCATCTCAGTTTCTACTATTCTACGCCAGGTCTCTTTTGGTCTCTCTCTTTTTTGTCTACCACGAGGTGTCTATCGCAAAGCAATCTTGATGATATCCTTATTTCCTTTCCTTAACACAAGCCAAGACCATCTCTTCCTTTTAAAGTCCGTCTCTATACAACACTGATTGGTTTTGTGGTACAGGTCTATGTTGGCTATTTTATTGAGCCAGAAGATCTTACAGATTTTTCTCAAGCAGTTGTTATGAAATGAGGAAAGCCTTTTCATGTCTGATTTGATAATACTCCATAATTCTGCCCCATATAGAAGAACTGATTTCACATTCTGATCTTCGTTTTCAGCCTGATTGACCTTCCCTTTCATATGGGCTATAATTGGCAGAATGCATATCTGGCTTTGCTAATTCTGGCTCTTATATCTTTTGCTGTTCCATTTGTTTTACTTATCATGCTTCCAAGATTTGTAAAGTCCTCAACCTCTTCTATTATGTTATTGCTGATATTGATGAGCTTGGTCTTCTTCTCATATATAGTCAGGCCTATACTTTGTGCTGCTTCATTAAGTCTAATGGTTTTGTTCTGCTTGCTGTTCCTGTTGGTGTAAGAAGACAGATATCATTAGCAAAGTCTTAATCCTCTAGAAAGGAATGCATGGTCCATCTGATGCCTGTGACTTCATTTCCTAATGTTGTACTCAGATGTTACTTGGAACCATTTTGACTGTTGACAGTTATGTAATACACATCATTCATAGTTGTTGTAGAAAGCTTGTACATTTTGTATTACGGTGATTATTTTTAATGGTACACCATATGCTCTAAGGATGGTCGATAAGCAACTTCTTATCTGCTGTCAAAGGCTTAGTGGTGACAAAATAACGAGCAATAACAGTAGATGTCTAATCCATCTCCTGAAAAATGTAGACATATATTGATAACAATATTTCTTGTAAACTATATTTACAGTCAAACGTATCATTTTAAAAATTGAATGGAAATTACACTTTATATTGTCTCAATCATTTCCTCGCTTGTGAATAAACCGAATAGGACTTATCACCAGATTTGTACTTACATGAGTAACAAGAAGGGTGTCACATGTGGATCATATTCTGTTTATCCTCCCAGAGCGACTGCTATCATCCCCACGCAACAGCAAAAACATGTCGCCAAAATCAAGAGTTGGCAGGAATAAAACTTTAGTTTATGTTTCAAAGGGTAGTCAGTATATATTTGGCGCCAATCCTTTCCTTAACCAGAGACAGTAGTGTAACGGTATAACATAAGAACAAGCTATAAAAATCAGTTGAAAAGGTCTTAATTTATCAGACCGATACAAAGCAGAAATCATAAAACAAAAACACAGATCGGACGTGGCAGGGTATTTATATATCCCACACAACAAAAAAGTCACAATTTACATATCTGAGAGTACTTTCACATGTTGCAGTAACTGTCGGCTAGTTCAAGCCAATAACAACGAATAAAATATCATGTATCCAAAACTAAAATATCAAACAGTACACATCCAACATTCAATGAATGATTTAGTGATAAGACGTCATTAACAGTCGGAGAAAAACATGACGTTGTGCAATGCCAAATTATAAGTATCGACATATTGTAGTACCGTGAATGTGCATATGTGTATGACAATAATATTAAGTATTTGTTTAATTTACTGATAACAAAATCAATATTTACACCAATAAAAAATATTATTCCAAGAAATGATTCTGATGACAAGTGTTTATAAGATTGATAACTTTTCTCGGATCGTATATAAATTTCAGGGCTCGGTAAACAACATCAACGTAAAATTAGGATATGCTATCTGTTTGAAATAAGTTTTTTACAGGTAAAGCCAAACTTCCAAATCAAATCTTTTAATCTATCGAGGGTTTGAGTAAATGTGTGGTAGCGAAATCTCTGACTTGATAATTTACAAGTAATACATAAATTACGTTCAGTGAAATCCAAAACGTCACTAAAGACACGGGCATAGCGAACGAGTTGGGATATAAAAACACCATAAGACGGTGCCGAATGAACATCACTGTCCAAAAAAGGAAAATTAACAATAGAGAAAGAAAAATTGTCCCTTTTGTCGTAAATGTTTGTGTAGAGCTTCTGATATTTTTGGGGGAGCACAACAACCATGTTTTCAAAAACTAAGACATAGTTCAGTATACCTCCAACGTGCTTAGTGTTAATATGTTTATATTGCTGAGTTTATTCTGAGCATCAAATTAAAACAGTTCAAATGATTCAGACCTGAAGGGAATATTTCAGACTTCCGTTGAATTTTCCTGTTTCATTCACGTTCCAGAGATTGCTTTGACGTTCGATGACATTTTCTAGAGACTGAATAGGGCTACAGGCCTCGATAGAGAGTCAATATATAAAACATGAAAATTGCCAAGCAAGAATTTGAGCAGCAAGTATCCGTCCGTATCATAAAAGATATATCAATTCACGATAAGAAAAACCATACAAATGTAAGTAAGTTTGTAAATAGTTTATTTTAGTGTCACAATCTGATATACATTATCATACACAATGTAAAAATCTTTAAAACCATATTAAAACCCTACATTTAAGACTCTTTCATGTTTTTCAAAATGAAAATATATGCTATAATGAAATATCAATAATGAATATTTAGATAATAAAAGTAGTTTTCATAAAATACTAAAATTTCAAATACTGGTAAAATTCATTTATACATTCAGAAATGATTAAAAATTTTCAAATTTATCTACCTACGTTTAAACATTAGATGCAATGTCTTTGCTAATAAAACGTGAATATCATCACAGTTCATAAGAAAGTCAAACTTGTCATCAGAATTAATACCATTAAAAGCGTTGTTCAAATCATTAATAAAGTTAAAAAGTTCTTCCCTTATATCTGAGTAAAAATTACAGTTAATCTGTCGTTTCTTTGTAATTTTATTTACCAAATATATACTGACTACTCCCGGTTGCACCAACGAAAGCTTTATTTCTGTCATTTTTGGCACCATGTTTTTGTTGTTGTGTGGGTACCGTCGCTCCGGAAGGGTAAGCAGATTCTGCTTCCCATGTGACAACTGTCATGTTACTCATGTAAGTACAAATCTGGAGATAAGTTTCATACGGTTATGTCACATGCAAGAAAAAGATTAAGACAACCAGCCAATCAGCTAGTACTTCGGGACTGGCATGAAAATAAGGATTTCCTGTTGTTTAAATTTGCCGTCACAAAATTTTGGAAATCATTCTAAATTAAGGAATATATCTCCCTCTTGCAAAGCTAAGATTCATTGCCCGACTTTGGCTAGACATTTGTGTTTTATTTTGTTTTATAAGCTCTTAAATCTTTAAATAAGCTTTGGATACAAAATTTTGGAAATTATTTTAAATTAAGGAATATATCTCCCTCTTGAAAAGCTCTGATTCCTTGCCCGACTTTTTGTCCTTTTTGGTTTATAAGCCCTTCATTTTTTTTAAAAGACTTTCGATTTTAAAATATTTAGAAGAGACATATATTGTCGAAATGCGCATCTGGTGGAGAAAAAAAATGGTAACGTTAATGTTATTCCTTAAGGCTTCATTTTTTTAAACCTTAGAAATGAGTGATTATAACCGTATTTATATTTTCTTTCTTTGATTACTGTCACTTTCTAGTACAAATTTTTCTTCTTATTCAATGAGTTTCATAAGTTCATAGTAAATTAACTAACTATTAAATTAAATTAAGATTGACCTTCTTTCTTTATTTATGATATCTATTCTTTACCTGTATTTACAATTGTCTAAATGATGCAATTATTTTTAAGATTATGATTGCCTCAATTTCTAAACTTTTCGATGTTTTTTTATAAATCTGGACATATCTGCAACAAGACTAACTGTATCTAACATTTTATTTTATTTCATAACAAGAAAAATCAGTTCGCATAAAAAATGTGGATTTCTTCAAATTTCTAATTCTGTTTATCGTGAGTATCCATTAGACGGTCTCCTTCTACAAATCCTGTGACATTTAACAGTGGTACAGTACTTGCTTTGAGGACAATCTGCATCACTATGACATTGTTTTCTGCAACCACTGAGTTCTCCTAATACTGACTGAGAAACAATCCCTGAACCAGATGAACTTACTGATCCACCTCGTCTAGCAGAAATTGTGTCCAATACATCGATGCCACTACGTCTAGATGAGATAGCGTCAAGAATATCGGAACCGGTGTGACCAGAAATTGAACGACTACGTCCAATAGTTTCCAAATGAGCAGTGTTAGATAGATCCAAACGTCCGGTCAAAGACTGACCAGATGAACCAATTATGCTGCCAGATGATATTTGTACGCAATAGCTGTTACATCCTTCGTGGACACATTTAAGTCCTGATGCACACAGTTTATTTTCTCCACATCCATAACTGCATCTCGAACCATCAATGCTTGACACCCTTGTCAGGTCAGATGACGAACCTCTAATAATTTCTGAGACTGTGTTTCCTCTTCTTATAGACTCCGACAATCCAGATGCGCCAATTACACTCCCAGAAGAAACTTGGACGCAATAACTGCTACAACCATCCCGTACACACTTTTGCCCTAGGTTACACAGTTTATCTACTCCACACTCATAATGACAGTTTCTATTTGATGCACCATTGTTTGAAACACCAGCAGATCTTTGAGAAGATGAGCTTCGTATGATTTCGGAGACGACTGAGCTTCTTCCGTCAGATCCTGCTCGTCTATTTGCATCAATTACATCAAGTACAGAAAGAGAGTCTCCACGATGACCGCCTATGTCCCTATCAACTGAATTTTCAAGCTTTAAAACCTTGTTCACTCCATGTATACCTAAATGCTTTTCTGAAGGTGTATAAGCTGTAAAAAATGTATGAGAGTTTGTAAAATTTACATTATACAAATGTTTTTAAATCGATGTAAAGCATTCCAAATAAAGGTAATTATCGCAAAACCAACGTTTTAACTTTATAAAAGGATTTTTTCATTATATATCAAATCATAATTATATATTTGTTGATCAATTAGTGACCAGTTAAGTTGACATTACTTATCATTGATATGGTCATACTGGTAAATTAACTGTTGACATTGTGGGTCCTCAATGCTCTTCAAATTTGTACTTGATTTGGCATTTTAACTTTTTGATTCGAGCTTTCCTGATGAGTCTTTTGTAGATGAAACGCGAGTCTGGCGTACAGAATTATATGCGTGGTATCTTTGATGAGTTTTATAGGTAGAACTTTACCCTAACTGTCAGAAAACTTTGTTTAAAAAAAATCATCAAAAGATACCAGACTTATAATTTTGTATGCCAGACGCGCGTTTCGTCTATATAAGGTTCAGCAGTGGCGCTTGTATCATAACAGTTAAAACGCCAAATAAGAAAGAAAATGTAAATCTCGAGAAAGTAAATCTTATATAGTTCTTACCGGCTACTGTCATTATGGTCAATGCCATTGATAATAATGTGGTTTGAAATTCCATCATCTCCAAGAATCTGAAATATACAATAGAACTATGTCCTAGAAAATATTACGTGATTAAAATAACTATAAATCAGTTATTTGCGAACAATTGCTTGCAATTAAGTTACATCTGCAAGTCAGTTACATTTGAAAGAAAATGCTCGGCTAGATCCGTTTTTTTTTGTTATGTTCATATTATTGCTTCATTAACAAAACAAACCAGAACAATAAAAACCGACTAAAATATGAAATGAAATAATTCGACCAAAATGATAGTTTTCAAGGGAGTTGGAGGAAAGAAACATATGCCTAATCTTAATGTGGACAACAGTCCTCATTAAGGTAGTAAACTTTGCAGTTTTGATTTGTTAAAAATATGTATTGTAACTACGTTTCACGATAGAAAGTGATCTATGCGTTTAGAACTGAAAATATAGGTTCATACCTAAGAGATCGCAATTACATCACTACATCGATTTCAAAAGTATTATTCAAAACATGTAAATCTTTACTATCGTTATTACTTTACATTCTTGCATTTTCCAAAATTCAGATAAAAAGGAAAAATTTCAATTTCATACTTTAAATTATATAATTAAGTCCACTATATAATTTTGGGTGATACAAATTAAATTTACACTCTTTCGTTTTTTAAATATGATACCTATGAAGCAACAGTTAGATACTTTGACAAATGTGCAAATTCGTCAATTACTTCTCAAATACGTAATGTCTGATTACTGCTATTTATCATCTTGCTAATTTCATAATCCTGATTTTTTTCAAAATTCTATCCTTTTTGGAGTTTATGTAGACTTCAAAAAATATTTATTAATAAATCAAAAGACTTGCATCTTTGAGGAATTTTTAATAAGTTTTTTAAATTCATAATATATTCATAAACATATTGAACTGGCAAAATGTCTATTGAAATTAAAGCAATATTAAATGTAAAAAAATAGGTGTATAAATGACCAATTCTTAGTTACTTTACACTCAAACTTAAAAGAAATCTTACCTTATTTCAAAACAGTTATCAATTTTTTGAATGAATGAATAGTGTTTATTGAACTTCAGAACTGTTCTTTTATACCGTTTCAATTATTTTGTTTATTATTTACATGCAAACAAGGAAATGTATTACTAAACCGCAAATGATGAATGCTGTAATTATCTGTCAAATGGAAATTTTACAATACGGAATTGCACTGAATTCATGTCTAAAAAATGTACTTCAAGGGTCAAATGCACATTGTATTTCCTCTTGCAAAACACTTTCTTTTGTAATTACATCATAGTAGGTGCTTGTACTACAAAATGATGCTTTGATGTATAAAAAATGTACATAAATTCAAACAATATGAATAAGGTAGTAGCCAGAGATTTAAACAGTTTCAATAAACGAACAGTACTGTTTGCTATTTCGTCAAACAATACGTAACCAACTTTAACTCAAAAAAACTATTTTTAAAAATATGTATGCTAGTAAGATGATTAAATAGATAGCTTTAATCGTCAATGATAATTGTATGATTTTCTCGCACTTGTTCTTCTCTGAACAATGGAGAAGGGAGTTAGATGGCTTTACAACACAAAAAAGCACATGTTAACTCAATCCCTTTATTGATTTTTACTACCCCCTTGTTGATAAATTTTCGCCTCCAACGATATCAATAGGTAAGTAGTAAACACTCTTGTGATAACATGAAATACCGTTGAGACGTTCATTTGCTGTAAATGGAATGTTCATAAAATGTTGATATAATTGAAAACACGTTGTCTAAAAGTCTAAGCAATATATCGTTGAAAAAGATGTTCAAGCCATTAATTTTCAGTCTTCGAAACCGACATTTTTCAATTTCGACTGCCATTGACAAATTACCAGCTTGTCACATAGGAAAAAAACAGTCAACTTTTCACTGAAATGACGAAATCTCGGTTAATGTTTAGCAATTTATTTTCCCTTTTCATGTCAAGAATTTTTGTCAGTCAACCAAATTACAAAATGTGAACATAAGTTGTGTACTTTATTGAAAAAAAAAACACACAAATATTCTGAATTCAGTCTATTATCTACACAAAAACAGACTGAAAATAAAGAAAAATAATTCAATTTGTTGTTTCTGGTTGTTTTTTATACATTTTTTTGGAGTTTAGGAAAACCTATATAAATTGTTAAAAGTAATGAAAAAGAAAATCCTATTGTTCTGTTGATTTTAAATCAGAAGGTCAAAAGTTAGGTTAAAGTTACTATGGATAGATGAATAAAGTAAAGCGTTTCTTCAAAATTTTGGTCAAATGAAATATCTTGAAAATTTATTTCTTTTTTCCTGGAAATTTTACTGTGGCTAAAAAGCAAGTACCCGGAAGGGATTTCTGCTGTAGAGACATAGAAGGTAGTAATGTACTATGAGAGCTACAGTCAGATTGAATACGAATCTTGAATCTTTAAAAAATTATTGGCTAGTTGCCACTCAGGGCTGACAGAATATGTCCCAATTTATGTGATTTTTTCCAAAAAAGGTAACTAACAAGTGCAATTTACTTTCACATAAGAAGCAAAAAAAAATTCATTTAAAAGGATCTAGTACACAGACTAAAATTAACTAATAAAGATTAACCAAAATAATTCCATAAACCTAATAAAAAACCGGGCCGGTGGCATACGAACAACAACAACAACAAAAACCGGCTTCATAGAAAAAAGATTTTTCGAATCACATGTTATATCTCTTGCTCACAAACTAGCAGCAAACAGTGATACCATCATACAAAAACTGATCTGATAAAAACTAATTTTGCCAAAGACTTTGATAAAATGCCCTTGAGTGGACTGAATCATTCCACTCAATCCCAACTCAAAATGTAAACAATGTAAACAATGAGACCAAAAAATTCCAGTAACATAATACGTACCTCATGGCGTATTACGAGGATCAATGTTTTGTTTTCTCATATACATGCTTGATTTCTTGATTGACAACATAATTATTACGTTTGGAGGACGTGTTTTTCAACAAACGATCGGCTTTCCCAATGGGAACCAACTGTGCTCCTCTTATTGCCGATTTCTTCTTTTATTCACATAAGGCTGACTTCGGCTGAGTACAAAACATTACGACAAAAGAGATGATTTCAGCTTCCCAACTGTAAACTTTCCATTTCTATGTAGAAACTTTCCAGCAACGCCTGCTTATTGAGTATATATCTCCCATTTGATACGATATCCAAGGGCTTACATTTCCTATCATGATTTCCTTGAAAGAGGGTTGTTGCCCACAAGGAAGATATTAACCATGAATTCCAAAATGGGAAGTTGAAATCATTCCTTCGATAATTTTACGGACAGATGGAATCACGAGTTGGTTGACCGTTATTGAATATCTGTTTCACAGATGACGACAGATATGTTCCAATTGTCGTAATAAGTGCTCATCTGTTAGCTCTTGAAAAAGGTCGATACAAAAGAACAAATAAAGATAAAGGATTTTGTTGTCAATGTAAAATTTTGCAGATTAAAGACGAGTTTCATTTTTTAATGGAATGCACTGCATATGAAAAGGAAAAAAAATTTTATTCTTCAGGAAGTATGCATTCAATGCAAAAACTTTACTTAGATTTCAAAGTACGAACGGTTTATTTGGTGGATGTCCAGTAAGTCTGAAAATGTTAATATATAAGTGTCAAAATTTATAGTATTTTGTGTTTTCAAATGAGAGAAAATTTGCATTTAAGTGTCTAAATATACACCATGTACACGTAGTAGTGATGTAGTTAATGATTTATGTATTATAAAAGGTTAATATTCTATATTCTGAAATATTCTTTAAACACCATCTTGTATGTAGGATTTTTATTTATTCATTTATTTATTTTCAATGTAATAAGCTTAACAAAGTACAAACGCTGAAATGTCTCGCCTGCTTTACTACCATTGATTTTATGTCGATAGCCTTAAATAAAAAGTTTTACTACAAGTATCAAATTAACTTATCACGATCCAAGAAAATGACGGCAAGGTCAGATAAACCAAGCCAGAAATACATGTACACCTTACAATCATTCCATACATTGAATATAGTTGACCTATTGCTTATAGTATATAAGAAACAGACCAAACCATGAAAACATTATATTGACCAATGAACCATGAATATGAGGTCAAGGTCAGATGAACTCTACCGGACAGACATGTACACTTTACAATCATTTCATGGATTAAATATTGTTGACGTATCAAATATAGAATCTAAGAAACAAACTTAACCACGAAAACTTATCATTGACCAACGAACCAAGAAAATGAAGTCTAGGTCAGATGATACCTGCCAGCCAGACATATAGACATTATAATCATTCCATACACCAAACATAGTTGACCTATTGGTTATAGTTTAAAAAAAACCAGACCAACACACAAAACTTAACATTGAGTAATGAACCGTTAAAATGAGGTCAAGGTCAAATAAAACCTGCCAGACTGACATGTACATCATAAAATATTTCCATACCCCAAATATAGCTGACCTATTGCATACAGTATTAGAAAATAGACCAAAACACAAAAACTTAACTTTTACAACTGAACCATGAAAATGAGGTCAAGGTCAGATGCCACCTGCCAGTTGGACACGTACACCTTACAATCATTCCATACGCCAAATACAGTAGACCTATTGCTTATAGTATCTGGGATATGGACTTGACCACGAAAATTTAACCTTATTCTCTGATCCATGAAATAAGGTCGAGGTCAACTGAAAACTGTCTGACAGGCATGATGACTGTGCAAGATCTGTACATACCAAATATAGTTATCATATTACTAGTACTCATAATAAGAGAGAAATTAACATTACAAATAATCTTTATTTTCAAGTAGTCACTGAACCACGAAAATGAGATCAAGGACAAAGGACATATGACAGACGGAAACTTCATAACATAAGGCATCTATATACAAAATATGAAGCATCCGGGATCATTATCCCTATGTCGAGCTTTCTGTTACAAAAATCGCAGGCTCGAAAAAATTTACTGTATTATAAACTAGATAAACAAGTCTTAATCGAAAACAACGTTCAAACCCATGATTGCGTTGGAAACAAACCGCAATTTTTATACGTGTGCATGCAAAACAAATTTCTTGGTAGATGGGTCTAAATACAACACAAACAACAATTTCCAAAAGACCAAAAAAGTGAAAAAGTATATTTTAACAAAACGCATTTGACTAGCAGGTCGAACAACGAATGTTCTTAAACCCTGCTGACTGCCATTGGCGATTGCCAAATAAACGGATCACCAGATGTAACAAAATGGATCTTAACTATTAATTTAATACCAAACAGAAAACAATAAACTTGCGGAAAAGATGGTATACCGCAAACAAAAGGTGGATTTCGACAATCAATGTTTTTTCAGTGATGTTAGGAGTCGAAACGATATTTGGAAGGCCATATAATTTACCTCAATTTAGGATACTGTAAATTCAGAAATTATTGCGAGGTTTTAATTAATGCGAATAATGCGACTGTGTGAGTATCGCAATAATAAAAACTCGCATTCTGATAACTGAAACATAGATCTGTTTGCAGATTTTTTCGAAATCGCAATAATTAAACTCGCATTTTTATCTATTCTTGAAAAATCGCAATAATAAATGCACGCAATAATTTCTGAATTTACAGTAGACTCTTGAATTTTGAAGAGTCGGAATAGGATAAACGGATCATATAAACCCGAAGGCAAATATAATATAAGCCCAAACGAAAAAATATAAACAAGTCTAAATTGAAAACAACGTTCAAACCTATGATTGCGTTGGATAAAAACCGCAATTTTTATACGTGTGCATGCAAAACAATTTTCTTGGTAGAGGGGTCTAAATTCAGCACAAACAACAGTTTCCAAAAGACCAAAAAAGTGAAAAAGTATATTTTAACAAAACGCATTTGACTAGCAGGTCGAACAACGGATGTTCTTGAACCCTGCTGACTGCCATTGGCGATTGCCAAATAAACGGATCACCAGATGTAACAAAATGGATCTTAACT